ATTAGTCAATAGTTATTACCACGTTAAAGCACAAAATTAAAACGTTACTTTAGCATTACATTAGTATAATTCTTTTGTAAACAAAAAGAACTACGTAACTAATTTCTATACTAAACATCAAAATCCTGATGTCTTTGCTTTACTAGAATTCTTTTGTAAACAAAAAGAACTACATAACTAATTTCTATACTAAACATCAAAATCCCGATGTCTTTGCTTATTTTTAAATCTTACAATAGAAAATTAAAAGAAGTTGGTATATACCATACCAATTTGTACCAACCAAACATGTTGGTAGCCAAATAAATTGGTACCAAGTATACTTGGTACGGTACCGGTAGAAATTTTTTTATACAAATTATAGTTGGTACGGTACACGGTTTAGAGAAAAATAAATTGGTACCGTACAAATTCCACCCCTAATAAAAATTATCCCCCCACCAAAAAAAAAAGGCACAACCTCATGCAGTTGCACATCATGCATGCCTGTAGATCATAACTACACACTTTGTGTTAGGAGCACTATTTGTTGGGGTGTGAAAACTTGATCTGTTTGAGCATCCTAGTGAAAGGAGGCACATGGAGCATAGGAATCTTAATAGAGCATTTAGAGGCATATGGACCATCAAGAATCCTAATTGAACACTTGGAGGAACATGGACCATTAGGAATTCTGCAAAAGAACAATGGTGAGGGTGGGAGAAGTGGTGAGGTGTTCGTTCGTCGGTGACTGAGCGGTGAAGGAGAGGTGCGTTTTCATAGGTGGCTGACAACGTTGGAGGAGGTGGCGGCGTCTGGTGGCGACGAAGACTTTTTTTTTTCAGTAGTGGAGAACGATGACGAGGGTGGGAGAAGTGGTGAGGTGTTCTGTCGTCGGTGACAGAGCAAAAGGGGAGAGAGATGTGCGTTTTCATATGTGGCCAACAACTGTGGGGGAAGGTGTCGGCAACGACGAATTTTTCCGATGGTTAAGGCTGAAAACGGGTTTCTTGAGAGGGAGAGAGAAAAGAGTGAAAGAGAGAGAGAGAGAGAGAGAGAGAGGAGTGAGCATTTTTTAATTTTAATTAAAAAAAAGAGTAACATAAATAAAAAAATAAAAAAACAAATATAAATGATATAATCGTTTTTTTAAGTATATAATGACCAAAATTACTAAAAATATCCAAAATTAGATCACTCATACATCACTAAACTTTTTTGGACAAAAACCATATAATTTTAGGTTCCCATTTCACCATTGGATGGATTTTCAACAAAGTAAAATTATACCGAGTTCTATGTGTTATTCAATGTGACATTTAATATGACATAATTTGTTCATTTATGTCTCTTGGTTGTTGGCATGACGTGGTCTATGATATATAATATAACATAACTACCAAATTGAAATTTATTCTAATGGTATAATGAAAACTCAAAAAAAAAAAAAAAAAAAATGACATGTTGAGTACAAATAAAAGATAAATGGCCAAAACAACAAAATGCATACTATTATTTTGTATTTTATGACCCTGCGAATAAGTATATATAGAAATTAAAACTAAACAAATGAATGATTTATAAAATATAATTATACAATTTATAAAATATAACTTTACAAATTATTATTTTACCAATTACATTAATTTGGTGAAAAGTAACGCCTTGTTCTCGAGTTCTACTTAAGGAGGGAAATGGGAGGATACGGAGGGAAAGTGAGGGGTATCGAAGGAAAATCGTGTTCCCGAGTTTCATTAATGGAAGGAAAGTGAGGGGAGGGGAAGGATTTTGGAGTCATATTTTCCTTCCAAATTTTCCTCCCAAATTGGGCGGATTTGGGAAGAAAGTGAGGGGAAGGAAAATTTCATGTTTTATTTTCTTTTTCCTCCTTACTCGGGAACACAAAAACTTAAAATTTTCCTTTCATTTCTTTTCATTTCCTTCAAGCATATATAATTTGATTTGGAGGGTACCGTGCTTAAACTTACAATTCTAGAAGGACTAAACTAAAACATGTAAATAAGAAGCGGGTGTCTTTTGCAAAATTCGAAGTGCAGGATCTTAAATTTCATTCTCTCGTTTGCTAGATCAAAAGTTCCGATTAACCGTTTTCTGAATCAATCGTAAAACTGAAATCAGGAGAGCTTAGGGCTTTTTTTCCCATTCTATTCAAATTTATTTTCTTTTGTTCCTTACTACATCGACTGTGAAAAAGTCGCCAATTCGATTTGGTATCTCATCGTTGCATTTGTAACTCGATCGGCTTTGAAAGGAATCGACAATGCCGTCCGGTGAAGAGCAGGTGCATTTGATGAAGCAGCGTCAGAGCTTCCGGAACCTATGGCACACAGATCTCATGAGCACCATGGCTGCCGATACTCCGTGTAATTTAGTCTATTTGACCCTCAATTTCCTTATTATTTCATCGTATATCTGCTTAATTTTGTAAATTCGTTCTAATTCTTCTGACTTTTGTGTGTGTTTTGTGCTGTTCTAGATTGCTGCTTTGCTTTGTTCTGGTAAGATTCTTGCTCCGATCATTGTTATTTAGATCTTTGATCTATTTTATTCTATTATCATTTTGCCAAATATGATTGTTCTAAAAATTGTAGTTCGTGTGGTTAATTTGTAAATACAATTCCGTGGAATACAAGAAGATAGAAAAGGAGAGAGATTCTGTCTGATGATTAAGAAGGACGACGAATCTCTCTTGTATGAAAAATGTTACAGAAAAGAAAACTAAACCTAACGTCCATACACTCTGTTTGTTCCTACCAAATATAACTGATATTCAAACTAACAGTTACAGTTTAGTCCCTATACTATCTTAGTATGTCAAATATTTTGAAAAGATTATTCTCCAATCCTTCCTGTACTTGATATAACATAACACTAGGACACGAAAATCCATTCATAAGTTCATAACGAGACTTCAATTAGTGTCATATCATAACATAACATCTATGATCTATGTATAAAATATACATACGATTCATAAAGGGGTAGATATTAGATACCTTATTTATTTATTGGAGCTTATATAAGTTGTTTTCATCCCATAAAATTAACCTCTCTCTACAAATATGTCCTCTAGTTTAGACTTTATAGATTCATTGTATTGACAGTAACATTGCTTTGCATATGCATCTTCTCAGAGGTCTCAGTAAGTTCACAAAATGGTTTTTGGTGTCACTTGATGCAGTTATCCTGCTTAATTTGTTTTTACAGCTCTTTAAAGTTTGTTAACTATTGAAATTATTGGAATTACCCTCTATGAATCTTTTCATTGTCCTGTTAAATTGGCACCTATAATGATTGTGAATTTGTCATTAATTAACATCCTCTACTCTCTCATTGCGCATTATTAACATCCATAAGCCTTATGTTAAAGCAAATCAAGATTCATAAAAACACTTTCTGGTTGAATATATATAAATTACCCTTCTCTTTAGCGACATCATTAATTATGATACTGGTGCTAAGATTAGTCTCTTGTTTACCCTTTTCTTTTCTTCTTGTATTTTGGTAAAGATATTTTGTTGAGGATACGTTAATTTCCCTTGTTATAATTTCATGTATTATATATAATTAAACACTGAAAATGGCAGCGGACCATGTGCATCATACTTGCTTCGTAAGCGAGCTCTCTATGGTGACATGTCAAGGTAAACAAATCCATCACCCATGCAACCTCAAAACTATATTATATTTAATACATATATACTTATTTCTTGCATTTGCATGTTCCAGATATCGCTGCTGTGGTGGATATATGCCCTGCAGTGGTAAGTGTGGAGAACGTAAATGTCCAAAATTTTGCCTTTGCGCAGAGGTATTCATCATATATTCTTTTTCTTAAAATCCTACTCATGCATGGATTAATTACAAATACACAATAAAAACACTTGTAGTTTTAACATGTTTTGTTCTTGTAAATTATCTTGATCAGGTCTTCTTCTGCTTTGGGAACTCGGTAGCATCCACTCGCTTTATGCTGCAAGACGAGTTTCACATTCAAACAACCAAATGCGATAACTGTATCATTGTACGTATACTAATCTCTTTAGTTAATTTCTCCAAACCTTTTTATGATCTGTTTATATAATAACCCTCCCTAATTATTAATTAGCTTTTATCTCGCTTAATTAATTAATTAGGGTTGCATGGTTTGCCTCCAACAAATTGCATGTATATTTTCCATCATAGCTTGCCTTCTCGGAAGCGATGAACTCAGTGACGCGTCTCAGTTGCTCAATTGCTTAGCCGATCTCGTTTTTTGCACGTACGTAATTTCTTCCCTCCTCTTTCAACTATTCCAATTTTTTTCTTCTACATATTCTAAATGGTAGTGTATTGCTTTTGTAGGGTTTGCACATGCATGCAGGTAATATTCTATCTTTAATTATTAATTTATGGTTGATGGTTGATTAATAATCTATGAATTGAAGGGAGGAAATTGATATATAATTATTAATTTTACAGACACAACACAAGGTTGAATTAGACAAACGAGATGGGAAATTTGGGATCCGTCCAATGGATGTTCCACCGATACAGGAAATGTCAAGGATCGATCAGCCATATCCGCCCCATGTCCACCAGTACGGACCACCGTCCTATGGTTACCCTCTACAACACCAACACCAGCACCAGCACCAACATCATCAACCTGGGCATGGCTACCCACATATGTATCCTCCGCCATCTGGCTACCCACCTGCCGGTTATCCACCACCACAAGGCTACCCTCCTTATCCACCTCCACAAGGCTACCCACCTTATGCTTCTCCACCTCCACCTCATCATCAAGGCAACCAACCACCACCAACCAACCAACCTCCAGGACCAGGTCAATATAAGTAAATCATTCAGTGCATGCCTTCACCTTTAAAACCGTTTTTGACTTGATAAGATCATTCTTGAATCTTGATGAGACTAAATTCTTTCATTTAATTTCTATAGTACATAGTAAACTTTGGTTTACTTGAAATTTCTCAACATAGATTCACTACGGCTCTACATTTTGTTACATTGAATTTTGAATAATTTTCATTTTGAGATGTACTACGTTGATGTTCTTTACTGGCATAACTTTCAAAAGTCACTGTTTATTGTGATTGTTGTCAAATATATCTGGCATTTAATACTGATTTCCGTGTCAAACAAACTAATAGAGCGTTTAGTTTGAAATCCATAATAGTCACATTTTGTCACAATAACGTATTTTTTTTTCCAAATTTTGGGTCACTTTTAAATTTGACTTTGTTTGTTGTTAGTCCGTGATAATATAAGGGTATAACACTGTACAACTGTACAACAAGAGTTTATAAAGGACCCTCATGGACAAAAAAAAGTTCTAGTAGACATCAAATGCTCGGTTAGTTTATTATAGCTTTATGCCACACTAGACGAATTCCTGCACGTTGCGCAGCGTAGGTTAAAAATATATTGTTAAAATGTTAAAAAATATATGTTTAAAATGGTTATGTTATTGACATTAACTTTGACATAATATTTTTTCATTGACATCAACCCACCTTCCTCATTAATAAAATTAAATATAATTATCTATTTAATATTATTTTTAACA